CTTCTGCATAGGTGAACACAGCCTGATGGGAACCTGTCCTGCCTTTGACAAGACAGAACTCCAGACCTACAGAGATAGCCTGAGTCAGGGGTCCCATGGGGTTGATGGGTGAGAGGCAGAGAGGAGGCAGCCGGATCCAGCAGCTTCTCCAAGTTCCTCCTTCTGTGCCCCTGTGGGCAGCAGACAAGAAGCTTGGTTTGTTTCTCCCTGAAATTCTTTTCCCCAGAAGGTTGCAATGCCCCATGAGTTTGGTTCTCCCCAGCCTCTCTGGGGCACTGATCACAATGAGGCTCCCAACCCCTGGAACTCCAGTCTGAGTCAGCTCAGCCCTGTCCCAGAGAGCCAGTCGCCAGCATCTCTTCCCAAGTCTGCATTTGGTGACATCACTTCTGTATCTTGAAGTCAGCTCTGGTGGGAATCAGCAAATGCTAACAATCAGAGCTCTTTTGCCCTGGAGAGCCAGTGATTTGGCATTTACCATCACACCACTGCATTGTTCAGTTGTTAAGTCATGTCCAACTCTCTTCAACCCCATGGGCTGCAGCATGCCAGGCTCCTCTGTCCTCCACTATCTCTGGGAATTTGTTCAAATTCTTGCCTATTCAGTTGGTTATACTATCTAACCATCACATCCTCTGTCACCCCCTTCTCCTTTTGCCTTCCATCTTTCCCAGCATCAGGGTCTTTTCCAAGGAGTCAGCTCTTCCCATCAGGGGCTAAAGTATTGGAGCTTCAGCATCAGACCTTCCTGTGAATATTCAGGGCTGATTTCCTTTAGGATTGAGTGATTTGCTCTTGCAGTCCAAGGAACTCTCAAGAGTCTTCTCTAGCATCACATTTCGAAAGCATCAATTTTTTGGCACTCAGCTTTCTTTATGGTCCAGCTCTCACATCTGTACCTGACTATTGGACACTGCACACCTTTTTCCCCTCCCTGATTACACCTCATAAGAATAATACCTCTGAATCAGGAATGCCGTGAAAATACTGAGTCTATTTACTGTCCCCACCTCCCCTTAGGATAAGATCCCCACCATTGCCAAGGAAAAATTAGAGAGCTCACAGCATGGACTGCAAGTCCGCTCAGACCCCAGCTCACCCTTCTCTGGCCCCTCTGCCAGTCCTGTTCCCGTGGCTGGATCACGAACCCTCCCCTCTCCTGTGTCTTGACACCACCCCAAGTCCAGGTCAGCTTCATTCACTTCCACAGGTCACCTCTTGAGAACTTATGTCTACATCCACATCTCATGAAATGATTCTATTATCAGTGATGGGTGCACCCGTTCCTTACCTACTTCTCCTGTTGGACCATGATGGAGAGGACTTCTGGCCACCGTCCCAGCAGGTCCTCTCATCTCTGTCACCTCACCCTCTTACAGCTTCTTCAGAGCAGTGACTTCTCTGTTGCAGGCTGTCCAGTGGGCTTCTGCCTGTTTAAGGGGCTCAGTCTCCATCTTCTAGAGTGGACAGCTCCCCCCTCTCCCCATCCCCTGCAGGGCTCACTGCTGTACTCTTGTCAGAATCTACAGTCCCCCCCAGGTCCCTCCTCTGAGTGGATTGGATAAAAGGACAAGGGAGAAGGGACTTTGGGATGGCAGTGCTGGCGAACAGAATGTCTTCCCTCACAGCTCCAGCCAGGCAGGAAGGAGGGGTGGAATTCCTGGAGGAATCAAGGAAATCCTTGCTCCAGAATTAGGGAGCTGGGAGAGGGAGAGACTGGCATTCCAGTGCCCAGTGGAGGTCCCCCCTCGCTGACCGGCTGGGGTCTCCGGAAGTGCTGAGAGGGGAGGAGCCCACATCCCCCCATCTCCATGATGTCTGGTCCCTAAGCATTTACAGAGGGCCTTCCACGTGTGTCCACAGGCCTGGGGGTTGGCCCCCAGTGTGAATGAGACTGGTGGCTTTTGGAGAAAAAAGGCGGCACAGTTAAGACGCTGCCAGCCCTATGTTGCCATAACGCATGTCTGGCAGGCAGGACAGCTACATAAGGTGCTGGGATCCCCATGCAAAATGAAAACGCAGGGCCCCTTGTTCAACAGTTGTTAAGAGTTTCAAGATCATGACATGCAGAACATTAAACCAAATGTGGGGCCTTGCAGAGCAAGGGCCCAGTGCCCAGGGGAGTCACTCTAAGAGAAACCTCTGTCCGCCGGCAGGCTGGGCCCCAGCCCTTCTCGTTTTCAGTGAAAAGGAGCTACAGCAGCCTTAGGGCCTTGACTCTGGTTCTAGGGCTCCCTGGCCCAGGTGAATCAGAAGCAAGGGCCTTGTCTTTCTGCCGATGTGGACACTGAATCTGGGTTTCCCAGGTGGCTCAATAGTAACAAATCTTCTTGCAATACAGGGAATGGGGGAGATGTGGGTTTGATCCCTAGGTTGAGAAGAGCCCCTGGAGGAGAGAATGGCTATCCACTCCAGTATTTTTGCCTGGAGAATCCCAAGGACAGAGGAAGCTGGTGGGTTACAGTCCATGAGCTACTGAAAAAATACACACACACACCCCGACACTGAAGAATAAAGCGGGAGGGGAGACCCCTACTTACCCTCCCACCACCCCACGAGAGCTCCTGAAGCTCCGCCTACACTTGGGGAAGGGAAAAGTGAAAGTAGCTCAGTCATGTCCGACTCTTCGCGACCCCATGGACTATACAGTCCATGGAATTCTCCAAGCCAGAATACTGGAGTGGGTAGCCTTTCCCTTCTCCAAGGGATCTTCCCAACCCAAGGATCGAACACAGTCTCCTACATTGCAGGCGGACTCTTTACCAGCTGAGCCACGAGGGAAGCCCCAGAGAGAGGGAGAGGCGCTTTAATCAAGTGAGAGCCTGGAGTCTTCATGGACGATGCCCAGGAGAAGGCTCTAACCTGGAGGGTGGAGAAGGCTCAGAAGCTGGCCGGATGTTGGGACAAGAGCTGTGCCCTGCAGTGACAAAGGGGCCTCTGTCCGGCACAGTCTCGGGCAGGCCTGAAAAACCTAAATTGATTTAAATCTACATCCTGCTGTGTCGAGATTCCCCCTGTAAGCTGGTGGGAGCCACCTGCGATTGTGAGCTCGGTTCTTTGATGTCTGTCTGCTACCGGGAGTAGGGCTTTCTGCCTCGTCCCCATGGTGTCCCCAGCAACTAGATCAGAGCCTGACACTCTGTATTTGCTAAACAGATGAAGACATGAGGGCTGGCCCGTCTTCTGGCTGCAGGGACTGGCATATCAACTTCAATCTGTCTGAAGCCATCCGGGATCTCTAGGTTCCCCAGCCCCCGTGGGCTCTTCCCCATCAGCTGCCTTTCATTGCAGGGGGGTGGGGCCTGGTCTGCCGCCCCCCTCTCGCTCGGGCCCACATTCACTCAGCCTGGTCTGTCCTCTCCGCTGGAGTGCGGGTCTCCCTTGGAGTGCAGGTCAGTGGGGAGCAAGGCAGGGTTGAGGGTTGGTGGGAGCCAGCACTCCCCATGGTTATCTCTGGACCAGCAGGTGGCAGAGCTGGGGTCTCCCCCTCACCTCCTGCTACCCTGTCCTTCCTTTTTTCCTCCTGGTTTTCCTGGGGCTGGGGGAAGGACCTCTGTCCAGGGTGCGAGACGAGGAGAGGCTGTTAGTGACACCTGCGGCCCCTGCTTTCCCAGCCTCCCCTCCAGGCCGCGGGCTCCTGCCTGCGAGGTGAGCTGGCCTTGTCTGCTGACGCTCCTGCCCTGGGTGCCCCCTGAGGCCACAGTGGCTCCACCTCACCCCTCCTGCAGGTAGGAGCAAAGTCTCAGCCCCAGCCTCCCACCTGCAGAAGAGGGAAGGAGAGAACCTTGGACCTTTTTGTCGATACCTTGGGAAAGCCCCAGCAGGCTTGGGTCGGGAGGCCCCTGTAGGCCCTGGTGACACTTGTCCTCTGGGGGAGGACCTTTCCCACCTCCCCCGTCAGGCCCCTCCAGGCCATGGATGTGTTTGCCCCTCCCCTCACCCCAAACCACCCTGACCTTCTGGCCCTGCCAGGGGGTGGACAAAAGGGCAGCTAGGTTGGGGGGTTGACTAACCCAGAGCTGACCAGGCCACCTTTGAGGTTAGTGTCCCAGGACATGAGGGTGGGACCCACAGCTATGCCGGTTTCTCGGGCCAAACATGGCCAGCTGGACACAGAAGCATCCATGAGCCAGCTGCTGACATACTGAAATATGAGGAGAGGGGGACTCAGGCTGTTTTTCGGATGACAGGCTGCTCCGGCTGTGATTCAGAGCTCAGGCCTGGGGGTTCTGACTGTACCTCTGGGTGATTTGGGGTGAGTCACTTCCTGTTGAGGGTTGGATTGCATTCCCCAGAAGATGTGTTGATGTCCTAACCCCCAGAACCTCAGAATGTGATCTGATTTGGAAACAGAGTTTTTGCAGACGTAAAAAATTTGAGAAGGTCATACTGGAGAAGGGTGGGCCCTTCATCCACTGCTCTCAGTTGCTTCACTCTTTGCGACTCCAAGGACTATAACCTGCCAGGATCCTATCAATCCATGGGATTCTCCAGGAGAGACTACTGGAGTGGGTTGTCATGCCCTCCTCTAGGGGATCTTCCCAACCCAGGGAGCCAATCTGGATCTCCTGCGTCTCCTGCACTGCAGGCAGATTCTTTACTGCTGAGCCCCTGGGGAAGCCCCTGTGTCTTTGCAAAAGAGAACAGATACACAGGCAGACGCTGGTGTGGCAATGAGGTAGAAACTGGAGTAGCCACAAGCCGAGGACTTCTGGCCTCGGGAAATAAGAGAGAGTCATGGGACAGAGTCTCCCAAATAGCCTTTGAAAGAGCATGACCCTGCCAGCACCGTCATGCTCTAGGCCTCTAGCCTCCAGAACTGTGAGAGAATAAATTTCTGCCCAGTTTGTAATCATTTGTGATGGCAGCCCAGGGAAACATACACTTCCTGTTTCTCAGCCAGTCTGGGAAATGGGATAATATCACCCGTCTTGCTGGGAGGCATGAAGGACACCTGCTGGGCTTCCAGTGAAGGGCTGGCAGGGACTGTCATTATTGCTCTAGATCGGCACTTTGTACACGCTGGGAATCCATAAGATGCTGTCTCCCGGCACGAACACGATGAGAATAGTGAGGGCCCGATCCTGGAAGGCACCAAGGGAGATGTTGGTGCCTCGAGAACGGAAGAGAAAGGGACCTGGGGCAGCAGTGTGGGGATGGGAGAGGGGCTCCCCAGGTCCTGTGCAGCCTGATGCTCAGAAGGTGTCTGAATGTTGGGGGTTCCCCTTGCCCCAAGGGCCCTTCCCCAGGCTTGGCTTGTCTCCTTCAGCTTGTCAGCTTTAGCTGTTGCTCTGATTTCTCCTGCCCTTTGGGCTGTACTTGACTATTCGTTTTTTCCTTTGGCCACACTGCGAGGCTTGCAAGATCTCAGTTTCCAGACCAGGGATTGAACGTGGGCCATGGCAATGAAAGCCCGGTATCCTAGCCACTAGGCTACTCTTGAGAGTCCCTCAGACTACAAGGAGATTAAACCATTCAATCCTAAAGGAAATCAACCCTGAATATTCACTGGAAGGACTGATGCTGAAGCTGAAGCTCCAATACTTTAGCCACTTGATGGGAAGAACTGACTCACTGGAAAATACCCTGATGCTGGGAAAGATTGAAGGCAGGAGGAGAAGGGGATGACAGAAGATGAGCTGGTTGGATGGCATCACTGACTCAATGGACATGAGTGTGAGCAAGCTCCAGGAGATGGTGAAGGACAGGGAAGCCTGGCGGTGCTGCAGTCCATGGGGTGGCTAAGAGTCGGACACGACTGAGCGACTGAACAATAACAACACCAACAAGAGCACCAAGGGACTCCTAGGCTGAACTTGACTTTAAAAGGGAAAGGCAAGGGTGCTGCTTGGGGTTGGGGGCAGAGTACCAAGTCGGGGCTGCCCCCTGCAGGCTCCATGGGTGTCTAAGAATGGACAGGTCCTAGATCGGCACGAAGGACTTTCTGTGGTTGGCGAGACCCCTGGCTTCTGACCGGGTATGTTCAGCAGGGGTCACAGGCATGGAAACACACAGACCATGCCCTTCACACCCCCAATTCAGAACCCAACCTTTTGTGTACATCCCATAAACCATTCAGTCATCATCCTCCCCCGCTCAACCCTTTCCTTCTGAAGCAGTTGGGAGGAGAAGGGGGTCATCCCCACCCTCTCCCCTCCCCCAGGCTCATTCTGGCCTTCTCCAGCAGGGTCAGCCCCCTACCCTCATCACTGGTATCCTGCGGGCGTGGGAGGAGGGTCCCAATGCTTTTCCACTGTAATCACAGACTCCAACTTTTTTGTCTTCCTTTAGTGAGAAATGATGGAGAGTTCAGGGGAATTTTGCTAAAAATACCAGGAAAACATAAGCAAAATACAAAAACTCAAGTCCAGATGAGTTCATAGAACATGAGCTCATGTCCTACTAACAGTGTCTTCCCTGGGTGGGTACCACTGTGGGCGGGGCAGTTCACCCCATAGGTTGAACCATATGAAGTCCATCAAAGTGGTCTGATAAATTCAAAAGAGCTACAGCAGATTTTTTATTTTATTTAAAAAATTTTTTTATTTTATAGTTTCCCAGGTGGTGCTAGTGGTAAAGAGCCCACCTGCCAATGCAGGAGACAGAAGAGACATGGGTTCTATCCCTGGGTTAGGAAGATCCCCTAGAGGAGGGTATGGCAACTGACTGCAGTATTCTTGCCTGGAGAATCCCCATGGACAGAGGAGCCTGGTGGGCTACAGTCTGTGGGGTTGCAAAGAGGCAGACACAACCAAGGCAACTTAGCACAAGCACATTGCTGATTAACAATGCTGTGATAGTTTCAGGGGGACAGCGAAGGGACTCAGCCATACATACACATGTATCCTTTCTTCCCTAAACTCCCCTCCTGTCCCGGGTGCCACATAACATTGAGCAGAGTTCCATGTGCTGAACAGTTGGTCCTTGTTGGTTATCCATTTAAATACAGCAGATAGTACATGTCCATCCAAACTCCCTGATTATTCCTTGCCCTCACCCTTCCCCCGGCCACCATAAATTCGTTCTCTAAGTCTGTGAGTCTGTTTCTGTTTTATAAGTTCATTTGTATCAATTCTTTTTAGATTCTACATATAAGGGAAGTCATAGGATATTTCTCCTCTGTCTGACATACTTCACTCACTATGACAGTCTTGAGGTCCATCCGCATTGCAGCCAATGGCATTATTCATTATTTTTAATGACCGAGTGTATATTCCATTGTGTACCACATCTTTATCCATTCCTCTGTTGATGAACATTTATGTTGTCCCCATGTCTTGGCTATTGTAAGCAGTACAGCAGCTTTATTTTAAAATGTCAATATTTACTACATGCCAGAAACTACATCTTTCTCATCATTTAAACATGATAGAAACCTTTAGGAAAGAAGAACACATGTAAGGCAAAACTCTTTTAAATTAAATATGTGTGCAATTTTGAATACCATTATTCAACCCTGTGCAAACCAGTCCACAATTGTGCCTGTTTCCTCTCATTTTCTTCCTTGTCTTCCTTGCTTGTGATCTCTCTCCATACGTTTTCTTTTTCTTTTCTCAGCCTTGCCATCAGCTGTTACTTTGAAATTTGCTAATTTAATGCCTTCAATTTCTACTATAATATTCACATCTCTCCCCACTTCTGCATGAAAGATTCTCCCTAATCAATACTTTTTATTCTTATGGCTTTCCTATCTCTTTGTTAATATGAGATGATCTTTGTAGAACGCATTATCTCTCTGATGAAGAGACATTTACTAGAGTTATGTGGTTTCTTCCGTTTCCTTCCATTTATTTTCTTTTATGAAAATAAACAAAATTTTAAAAATTATATTTAAAGTAGTCAGATCCATTCTCATAGCAATATATCTATGCATTTAGCACTCTAAATTTCTACCTGTATCAGTGCAAAAATAGATTTATGAAAATGGTTATTATTCACTGATTATGGCTATTTCTGACAGGGAGATTTATTTTTATTTTGTTTTGCTTCTTACCTCTTCTTTGTGCTTTGTCAGTTAGCTTGAACTCTTTAAGCATTTGTACAAATGCAAAACATTAAGAGTATGAAAGCAAAGTGCAGGGCATCGAGTAGATACCTTATCATTGACACAAAGTTGACTCAGTGCAGTATCTTACCCAGTAAATATTAACGTGGAAACTGCTGGAGCATAAGCAATTTCTTGTGGCCCTATGTAATACAATCTATTAGACCTTTAATAATAATTATTTGAGCCAGGTGTTATCAGACCCAATTTGCAGATAAGGCCACTGAGATGCAAAGCTATTGAGTGACGTGGCCAAGATCAGCTCACCAGAAACGAGGAGCAGACAGGAAAAGCAATCCCACCTGCTGCTGAAGGCCACTCCCTTGACCACTGCCCTGCCCTCCCTCCAGAGCCCACGGGGACCTCCCGGCTGCTGTCAAGGTTCACTGAAGGCTCCTGACACAAAGATCAAAGGTTCTTCTCGAAAGGATAGAGGGTTTGCCTCCCCGTGGGGGACACCTGGCTGTGCTGAGGCAGGAGGAGGCAAGGAGAAGCAACAGTGATGGCACTTGGGGGTAAGGGTGGGGGGTCTACGGGAGGCAGAAGAAGCGAAGGGTGGGAGACCAGGGGCCTGGAAGGGCTGGAGAGAGATGGGAGACTGGAAGCCAGGGCCTCAAATGCCACTGAAGTCCTCCCAGCATCCATCTTGCACCCCTAGGTTGGTTCTGTCCCCCCAGGGCCCCGGAGGTCTCAGAGGCTGAGTTGGGGGTGGTTCAGCTACTCCCTGAGTCCAGCTGCAACCCATGGAGGAGAAGGGGGAGGACAGGGACCCCAGGACCCTCCAGTTGGGCATTTCAGCCCCCTGCCCAGAGCACCAGACCCCATCACTCAAGGCCCAGTGGAGGCTGGCAGCCAGGGCAGGGGACCAGAGGTTGGCAGGGAATGGCATAAACTCCCCGAGGCAGTGAGCGAGGCATAGGCAAGGCTCCTTGCCTGCCAAGCCCCCTCCCCTGTGCATGCACGTGTGTGCGTGTGCGCATGCACACACACACACTGAAATGCAGCCCATTTGCACGGTAATGGCTTTGAGACAGCAGGAATTATCTGCAGCATTAGTGGCAGCCAGGTTGGGGTGGAGGGTGGAGGGCAGGCTGAGGGCAGGGGCCCCAGGCTGAGACTGGGGATTACCAAGGGAGGAAGCAGGCCACTGGGGGTGGGACCTGGGGGTCTGGAGACACTGCAGAGGCCGCGGCATGGGTGGGATGCAAAGGGCTTGGTGAGGGCCAGGGCCAGGTGGTTGGCCCCTGCCACTGCTGTCCAGTCCTTTCCTTCCTGTGTCCAAGGCCTGTAAGTGGACAGATGATCAGGGGCACTAACTCAGGACCTGAAATCATGGCCAAGCAGCCCCTGCGTCCTGGCCTGGCCTCAGGGCTATGTCTGCTACTCAGTCCTGGGCTGCTGCGTCCTCTGACAGGTTGGGGGGGCAAGGGTGATGAAAGCACCCCTCAGGAGGGGAAGACATGTGTGTGCGTGTCAAGGGGTGGCAGGGTTGGCATGAGCTATTTCCCTCTGTGACCGTCAGAACCTAGGAAGCAGGGCCAGGTTATCCAGCAATGCAGGGGGCTGGGGGGTGGGGCAGTTGAGGAAGAAGGATCCCTTCCTTCCTCAGATCAGGAAACTGAAATGAGCCACCACCTGGGTCTTTAGCAAAAGCCTCTGAAAGGCTGTTTCAGGGTGTGGGCACTGGGGCCTGATCCTTTCCCATACCCCCTTAGCCAGTGGGCCTTGGCAGGGGCTGCAAAGCCCCAGTTTAAAAAGCAAAACAAAACAGGAGCAAGCTGGAACCTTCCAGGCTGCTCGGGATGCTAAGGTTGCGGTGACGTGGGGGTGGGGCTGGTCCCTGGAGTACCTAGTGTCCCACCCTAGGGCTCTGGTGCATCTGCCGCGGGGGTGCTGGTGAGTCACGCCTGTCAGTCTGACAATAAAGCCGGGCTCCATGACTCTGGCAGCAGCAGAGCATTCTGCCCACCTGTGGGCACACCCAGATTGCATTTGCTGAAATAAATTGCTGGAGAAAATAAATCCTGCACACATGATTAATGGGAGGCAGGGAGGCAGGCAGCCGCCACAAAGAGCCGCTGGGGAGCAGAGTGACAGTCGGGCACAAAGCCAGCGCAGCCGTGGGGCCTTTGGGAATGGGCTCTGGTGACTGCGCAAGCCACCAGGTCACCGTGGCCCTGGCACTGCCACCAAACGGGGCGTCTGAGGCTGCAAGCCAACAAGACCCCGGGGGCTCTGACAAACCCCTGGCTTGACTCTCCACCATTGCGGGCAGGGCAGAGGGGGCCGATCCTGAGTTTGGAGCCCCCCAGACCTGGGCCTGACTGTCCCTGGTGACGGTGGCTGGTGGGGGTGGGGCGGTGGGCTTCCGTGGGCCAGAGTAAGGAAGTAAAACCAAGGTCTCAGGAGCAGAGACGAGGGCTGTGGAGAAAGATACTTCTCTACCGGCCAGTGGTGAGTCCTTGATGAGTCCTTGACCTCCTCTCTGAGCCTCAGTCTCCTCATCTGCTCAATGAAGCTAGTACCCGTGCCTCCCACGTAAGGCGGTTGAGAGTCGCAGCTGAGCCCATCTACGCATGGATGTGGGGCACACAGGGAACTGTACCAGCCAATGAAGGCATAGTCAGCATCTCTGATGTGCCTGTGTTGTTTCAGGGACTGGGGTACAGTCCCTGCGCACATGGGGCTTTTAGGCTGGTGCCAGGCAAATGTTGATGAAATAATAACGGTATAGTATATATAATTTCAAATGCACAAGGTGCTGTTAAGAAGACCTGTATGCTGGGGGATACAGGCAGAGGCGTGACCGTCTGGAGGTAAAGACAGGCTTCTCCAGAACACTGAACACAAGTGAATGTGAGGCAAAAATGCAAAAGTTCAGTGGTGCATTCTGTTGGTGAGGCTGTGGAGAAAGTCTGGTCATTGCCTGGGAAGGGCAAACAGTCCAAGCCCCATGCAGGGCAACTAGCAATACCTGCTCAAGTACCTACCCAAGTGACACGTGCTCTCACTGTGTGACTAGTACTCTCTCTCAGGGCATTTTATCCTACCTATCCATACAAAAACATGCAACCACCTAGGTACTCATCAAGAAGTGACTGGATGACATAGACTGTGTGTAGCTACACAGGGCTTCCCTGGCGGCTCAGAAAGTAAAGAATCTGTCTACAATGCAAAAGACTCGGGTTTGATCCTTGGGTTGGGAAAATCCCCTGGAGGAGGGCGTGGCAACCTGCTCTAGTATTCTTGCCAGGAAAATCCCATGGATAGAGGAGCCTGGTGGGCTACAGACCATGAGGTCCCAAAGAGCTGGACATGACTGAGCATGCATGTAGCCACACACTGGAATACAATACAGCTGGAAAAAAGGAACAAGGGGTCTACTGTTATGGAAAGAATGTCAAGATAGATTTAGTGAAGACAAAGTGTACATAATATGCTTCCTTTTGTGTAAGAATGGGTGGGTGGGGGAATAAGAGCATAGATTTTAACTTTGTGCTGAAGACTTCATAAGAAATTAATAGAAGTGCTACCTGGCAGGTATGTGTGGGTTGGAACCAGGGGCTTGAAACAGGGTTGCTGAAAGGCTTTTTACTTTGCATTGTTTTAATTTTTTAATCAATCCCATGTAGATATTATCTACTAAAAAGCAATTGTTAAAAATAATGAGAGAGACTTTGTTTCTTCCTGGAGGATGGAGGGCTCTCTGGTGGAATCTGTGAGGCAGGACTGAAGGATCCAGAAGCCCTGGGGCGGATGTTGGTCACTGGATAAACTGACTGACTCTAGGCCCGCCTTCAAGTTGGAGTGGCTGGAGAATACACTCTGGCCAAACAAACCAGCTTTGCGAGCAGTTAATCCATCCAATCTTCAGAGAGGGATAGGAGCTGGGGGAAGGGGGACCACAGCACAGGACTCTGGGTCCTGTGCTCGCAGGATGACCGAGGTCTTCGCGGGTGGGGCTGGGGAGTGACCGAAGCCTGGACCTCGGATGCCCGCGGGCGCAGAGAGCGTTGGATGAGACTCCTGCCACCCCATGGGGGTTCAAGAGAGAGAAAGGGTGCGCGGCTCCGCGGGCCACCGTAGACCTGGGGCTGAACCGCAGACCCTCCGCACCCTGACCCCGAGGACGCCCCGCCTCCAGACCGACAAACCGGGGGGATCCGGGGTTGAGGCGGCGGGGGGAGGGGTTCGGCCCCCACGGGGAGGCCGAGCAGGCGTGGGGCGCCTCCTGGTGGCCCTCCGTGAGAGACGCAGGCCTTGAAGAACCAGCAAGCCCTGGACCAAGTCCCACCTTCCCCGCACCCCAGGGAGGAGTGGGGGGGCTAACTAAACCCACGGGTCTCACAGGTGGAGGACAAGGGATTCGAACTGGGGAGACCCAGGGGGAGATCTTGGGCGGTTGAAGGAAGACCTCAGTGACGGGGGCTACCCCAGGGACCCCTGCCTGCGGGAATCAGTTTCAGAAGCACTGCCCCTCACGACGACCCCATGCCTCCCAAATCCCCTCCCTCTGGCCTCCGGAGCGGAAGGGCACAGCGGCCTGCCGCCTGCCGTGTGTTCTTGTGGGGTTCAGGGAGTGAGCTTTCAGCGTTTTCTGCCCTCGCCCGCCGTGTATTTCTACCCTACCCCTCCCCTCCCCCTTTTCCCCAAGATAGCTACTCTGTTCTCTGCATCGTCCTTTACCTACTTCAGCCCCGGACCTGGGCAGACTTGCCCATCTGTAAACTCCTGAGTGAGCAAAGTCAGCACCAATGAGGCTGAGTGGGACCAGAGGGCAGCGTTGCAGAAGGTAGTGCTGGAAGGAGGGGGGCACAGAAAGTGGAGGTGGCTGGGCTCCCGATCCCCACTCCCTGAGACATGGGGCCCTGGGCCTGGGATTTGGGGCTCCCCCTCACCCCATCATCATGCCTAAGAATCTCCCCTCTGGGAGGCTCCCAGGCCTTCCCTGCTTCCCAACAAGTGTGTGCGTGCACACACATACACACTCACATACACTCACACACACACACACACACCAGGCTGTGCTGGTCCTCTGAGCAGAGCATCTGAACCAGGCCATTCCGGGCTTTCTCAAGTGTTTACACGTTCTGGCTCCACTGAGCCTAAAGAACTGCCCATACTGCAGATGAGGAAACTGAGGCATGGAGCGGTCGATGGCTTTACCAAAGTGAGTCAGGATCCCCAGGTTTAGGCACGAAGCCCGCCGAGGAGTAAAAGGGGGTGTGGGGACTTGCTCCAGGTTTCATCTAGCTGACATGGTCATGGCTGGGGCCTGGGGGAAATATGACAATTAATGACAATTTGTGAAGTTTGCTGAACCATTAGGATGTGCCAGGCCCGATTCTAGGCATCCTGCAGGAACTGACTCAGGGAGCCCTCACAGAAGCTTCATGCTGAAGCGGCTATAAGCACCCCACTTTACAGATGGGGTCTGACAGAAGCACAACAGAGGTCACACAACCTGCTGGGGTCATGCCACAGAAAGGATGAAGCTAGGACTTGGACCCAGGCAGGCCAGATCTGCTGTCTGGGCCAGTACCTCTGAGGTGATGCCAGAGGGGCAGGCCACCCCGAGGTCTGTCTCTGTCCTTTTTGCTCTTTCTGAACCACCTTGTCTCTAAGTCTTATTCTGGGCTTGCCCCATCTTTTCCTCCTCCAGAGTCCCCTCAACCCAGCAAACGCTGCCTCATGGGGCCCAGGCTATTGTGTACCAGGGGTTCAATGGGCGGGGGTGCTCCTTGAATGGTGTGGGAACTTGAAGCTGGAACTTACCCTTTTGTATTGGCCCCCTTTCTCCATAGAGCAGGCAGTCCATGTGGCTGAAGGCCTTGCCCATTGGCCTAAGCCAGTTCCAACAGGGCCACCACCCTACCCAGTGCCCTACCAGCCCGGAGGCTCCGGATCAAGTAGAGGGACATCGAAGACCAAGGCCTGCCTTGAAGCCAGGCCTCCAGCCTGGAGGCCGAGTCCCCCTTGGTGGCTGGCCTGCTCCGCTGGGCTGCAGCCTTGGCTAAGGCATCCTTGCCTGTACTCTGTACAGGCATCTCACCTCTTTGCACACCCCAACCCCACAAGTCTCCATCCCCCCACCCCCAGCCCCATTTCTTCTCTCCCAGCTGTATCTGTATTTCTGGGTATCTCTGTGGCCTGTCTGTCTCTCTGCCATCCTGCATCCCCACCCAAGGTGTCCCAAGCCCTCTCTCAACCCCTCCACCCCCAGGCTCCCCCACCGTCCCAGAGCTTGGTCTTCAGGAAGCCTCCTTCTCTCCCTAGCTCTCTTCCCAGACTTGCTGGGGGCGGAGTGGGAGCAGGAGCACATTTCTTGTCGTCCAGGCTTAATATCTTAATGCAAAGCCATTACTCACCCGGAGTCCAGGCAGGGCAGGCCTCTCCCCTCCTCGTTTGTCATCCAGAGTGAAGCCTCTGCGTTGTTCCTCGGGGATCAGATTAAGGCACTGACAGGCCGGATGAACAAATTTAGCTGCCAGTGCCGCCGCCTCCTCGCTCCCTCCCACCCCAGCCTCTCAGGCTCCCAGCCCCTTGAACTTTGAGTAAGGGGAGGTCTGAGGCCTCAGGCAGTCCTGTTTCTTGGTTCTGGTCCTCCTCACCTGGCAAGGGGTTGAGGGATGATGGGCGATTTTCTCCTGAGTGAGCGAGAGAGAAAAGGAGCTAGGTCCAGAGTGACCAGGACCCCTGGGAGCAATTGGACATTTACTATGAAAATAGAACAACCAACACTATATATGTCGTCCTTAAAGCCTGCCAGGCCTGTTCAAAGCCTTTTACTTGTCTGTATTCACTCATTCAGGCCTTGTAACAACCCTATGAGGCAGGTACCATTAGTATCTTCATTGGCAAAGGCTCAGAGAGGCTCAATGACTTGCTCCAGGTCACACAGATAGTGAAGTCTATGTGCTAGTTATGGTGCTTTACATTTTTGTTAATTTTCTCAGCACAATATCTGTGGAAACCAACAAGGACCTACTGTATAGCACAGGGAGTGCAGCTCAGTATTCTGTAATAACCTAAGTGGGAAAAGAATCTGCAAAAGAATAGATACTTACATGTATTTTTAAAATCTCTTAATACTATAATCATTCAAGAGGGGATATCTAATCTGACATTGTCATGAGTAGAATAAGTATTATGTAAAAATCATGGTTATAATAACAATAATTTCAGCTGAAATAAAGGCAAAACAGTATCTGTGGAGACGGATTAGTGTCATTCCCCTCTTACAGATGAGAAAACTGAGGGGTTTGCCCGGATCTGGAGTCCTCTGGTACAGCTCTGTATCCCACCCTGGTCCTGCCTTCCCTTTCTCTTGCGTCCCAGGGCCAGGCTTGTCTCTGTGCTCAGCCAATTTGGGGAAAGCAGTAGTGTGAGGCTTCCTGGCTTGGGCTGTCTGCCCCTCAGCCCCATCTCTGGAGCCACATCCTCCACCAGAGCTCTCGGTTTGCAGGGGCAGAGTTCAGAGTAACTCATCTTCCTTGCCCCTCTCTCTGGCCTTGTCACTGGGAATCTGCTGCCTGGAACCCAAGTCCCAAAGCTGAAAGCCGAGAGGTGCCTCCATGGGAGGGGCAGAGGAGGGGCTGCAGAGCCCACCTGGAGCTTTTTTGCTGCCGCCTGGACAAACTCTTTCTACTTTCCACATCAGCCTGGTTCCCATAGTAACCACTGGCTTGCTGTCTCCTAGCAACTGAGTGGTCCTCAGAGTGGGAGGCAGAGCAGTGGAGAGTGGCTGTCTTTGGGGCCAAAGAAGTTGAGTTCAAATCCCAGCTATGCCAGGTCATAGCTGTGAAGTCTTCAGCAAGTCACTTAACCTCTCTGAACCTCTGCTTTCTCATTTGAGAAATGGGATATTGTTCAAGGATGAAGCATTTACGATTAAGTCAATCATCTGGGAAACTGTGAAGCTAGGCAAAGGTGTGGAATGAATGAGAGAGGGCCAGTGGGCTACTGCTAGATCTGGTAGGAGCAGAGGAAGGTGGGGCCTGGGTTCTAGGTGGGATTCTGGAATGGGTGGGCCTCCCCACATGAAGGACCCCACCTGGCAGCCCCCCTCAGACTTCCTGACTCTTCAGACAACCACCTATGTTATTTAATTTTACCCAATAAGACAGGCTTTTCAAAAATTCATCCCAGTGTCAAATGTGGAAACTAGGACTCAGAGAAGTTAAATTACATGGCAAGCTCTGGAAGCTGAGGGGAGACACAGCTGATACTGGAACCTCACTTCCTAACGTCTTTCCGGGGCTCTCTCCTACGAGTTAGGAAGGAATGGGCAAGGGAGGGGTCACCTAAGGATGGAGGTGCTGGGAGAGGGAGGGAGGGGGCTCCAGGTCAGGGCCAGGAACGCGCGAGGTAAGGGATAGGGTCAGGGGATGGGACAAGGAAAGCTCCCGGTGCCCGGGGAAGCTTGGGGGGCGGGCGAGGGGGATGAGGGACGAGGGAGGGGCGGGAGGCCTCCGCCCTGGGGACCGGGAATTAGCCGCGTTTCTCCGCACCGATGGGCGGAGGCGAGGGTGGAAGGGAGAAAGGGCAAGCTCAAGGGGCAGGTTGGAGCCGGCTGCCCGAGAGTCCCTGGATGGAGTCCGCAGAGGTCTGGCCTCCGGCCAGTCCGTCAGCTCCCCCGGCGGGCTCTGGACCCTCGGTCTCTGCCCTCGATAGGTTGGGAGGGGACGGGGAGGCCGAGCAGGTCAAGGATCAATATTAGCGAGAGAGCTCGTACTCCCGTCCCCTGTTTGGGTGCGCATCTCCCAACCCACGCAGCTGAACACCCGCCATGCTCCCGCCCAGCCCCCTTCTCGGGCCAAGGCCGAGGTCGCTGCTGCAGCTCGGGCCGCTTGATTCAATTAACTAATTCCCGACAAGACAGATGTGCAATTCCGCGTTGCCTGCCATGAGAGGAGATGGAGCTCCTCGCGGGCGGGGGAGGGGGGGGCAGCGGTGACGTCACGGCTCGGCGGTGACGTAATGGGCGCCGGCCTGGAGTCCCACCGCGAACCGGCCCGCCTGGGTCTCTGCACTGAGTGTGTGCTTGCGTGTGTCCGCCTGTGTGTGCGAGTGCACACCTGTGTCTCCGGGCGCTGCGCCCCGCCCCTCCCCCCTCGGGAGGGACGCCCTTGGAGGTCTCCGCTGCATCTACGATTTGGTCTAACTAGATCCCTAAGGGTGCGACCTGCCCCTCCTCTCCTCCCCTCTTTCCTCCTCTTTGCCCTCTGAATTTGCCTCCCTCCCCAGCCTTGCTCCCGAGTCTCTTACCTTGGTGGAGTTTTCTGGTGAGCGCGTGCAGAGTGAGGCCCGCGCGTGTGCCTACACACCCAGGCATGCACATGCGGGTGCACACAGGGCCCACTCGGACACAGGTGTATGCCCACAGGCGCAGGCTTCCAAACATGTGTACAGTGGTGCCCCGGTGCATAGAAAGGGACCCAGGGGACCACAGCAGTCTCCCAGCTACACATCCACACCTGTGCACACATGCACAGCTCTAGGTCTGACTGCAGGGTCCTGCAGGCCCCCCCAGACCTTCAGCCCCCAGCCTCTTGTGGGAGGGGAGCATTGAGGAAGGGGTGGCAGAGCGGGAAGGGAGGCCCTGTCAAGGACACCAGCAAGGAAAGGGGAAAAAAAAAATGAAGTGGAAGAAATAAAATCAAAAGGCTTTTAAGGCTGCTCTCCCCAAGTAGTTGATGTCTTGGCTGCGATTGCCGGCAATGAAATATTGTGCTCTCTGATCGCTTAATGCAGGGAGCCCCACAGCCCCCCTCCCCCAACCCAGAGGCAGTCCCCTCCCCTCTCCTCCCTCCCTCCTGCTTCCCTCCTCTCCCATCTTCCCTGGCAGATTTGCCTCCTGGCTCCAGGAAGGGTCCAGAGAGTGTGGTGGAGGGCACAGCTGATGCCCACTCCCAACCTGGCACTGACCCCAGGATGTGCTCAGGAAGCCCCAGCTGGCACGGGGGGCCCCAGCCCAGAGCCTGGGCAGGAGGGGCAAGCCAGCTCTGGGCTGGGACTCTAGCTCGTGCCTGGAGGTTGTGCCCAGGGCTCTCCTTGCAGAGATGTTGGGTTTGGGGACTTGCACCCCCAGCCGAGAAGAGAGGGACATGGAGACCTGTGTCCTGACAGGGATCCCCAGCACCCTGGAGGGGCTGAGGCTCTTGGAGATTGTGTGCGGGTGGGGGGAGGGGGTTGGCTAGGCGGGGGTGGGTGGATGGGTGGAGGGAGCCCTGGCCTGATTCTCAGCCTTTAGTTAGAAACTGAGCTTAGGAATGTTTAAAAGACCTGGCTTTCAGCCTCAGCTCCATCACTTCCTGGCTCTGTGACCTTGGGCCAGCTCTGAGCCTTCTGTGCCTGAGTCCCACACCGGGGAGGAGGGAGCAAATAATAGAACTGGCCTCAGAGGGTTATTGGAGGATTAGAAGAGAAAATATATGCAAAGTGCTCAGCATAGGGCCCATGCACAGGGAGGGGGATGCATAAGTGGGGCTAATTATCTCTGTAATTTCCCCACCGACTCCACTCCCCCCATGCCTGGACTTCGAGGGGCCGGAAGCAGCCTCAGAGGTGGTGCAGCCCTCCACCCTTCTCCTCTTCCTCCTCTCTCACCCTTGCTTCCACACCCCACCCCACCCCCAGGCAACTGTTCTCTGCGCCTTTTCTGTCAGGGCAGCCAAATTGGCCAAATCTCCGTAATGCTAAAAAATTGGCCCATTAGCCGGCAGAGAACACAGACGGAAGGGGAGAGTGGTGTGCATCCCTGCCACAGATGTGCAGGGACGGGTGGGGTGTGCGGGGGCGGGGGGGGGGATAGGGTGGGGCTCCAGGCCTCCCCAGGGATCCAGCAAGGCCCGGGGAATGGTCAGCTGCCAGTGTGTGTGTGTGTGTGTGTGTGTGTGTGGTTGGGGCCCCACTCTATGCCAGACTGTCTGCTGGGGGCTTTCATAGCATCACTTCATATAATCTCAGCAACAGTCTTGAGACTTTGACCCTATAGTTATTCCCATGTTGCAGATGAGGAAACTGAGGCTCAGAGACAAGAGGTTCTCAAGTTA